TGGTTGGTTTTGAACTCATCATGCATTGAATTGCTAGTCTCTACAGTAATACATTATCTAGGTAGGCTAGAGTAGGGGATATGAAGGATGTCCTCATCATGAGACATTGACCAACTTCAAAAGTAAGGATATATGCTTCTCACTATTGTTTGAGGCTCTTAATAAACTCCTCACTTTGAGTCTTTTACTAATAATAGCAAAAAGGGGGCGATATGTACCTTATTACAACCAAACCTACCACGACAAGTCTACTTAAAAAACGCCGCCGCTAGAAATAAAGTGGGGGGGGGTAAAAAGTCGAGTGTGAGGGTGTCCTATCATTGCAAAAATTGGGTTCTGGAAGAGATACCAATCGAGTTTAAGTGGGGCTGTCCTATAAATAAAGATTATTCTTCTCTTGTACAAGTAAAACTTCCACCCGTAGATAGGATTGCCACTTGAGGATGTGTTTTCAAGGACACTGATAAAACTTCCGACATCCCTTGACTTCATTAACTCTCCGAATGATCGAGGAAAAGGAGTTGAACGTAGACCTTATGAAAGTGCTAAGGGGTGAAAGTTTTCTTCCTCGATTAGGCTGCCAAGTACAAAAGTACGAGGCAAAGTAAACCCAGTTGAGCAACAAAAAGTGATAAAGGCTAGCCAGCATAACATGAGAAGAGAGAACACCTAAAATATCACGAAAAAGACTGTCACGAGATAGGGATGTGCATAAAAGATTAACCAAGCTACATATGCATCACCCCATATCCATAGAAATAATCAAGTTGAGGAAAAGTCTCAATCTCGTCAGACACGAATCACATCGTCCTTGCGTAGTATGTTTCGGACTTCATTGCCATGGCCAAGGTTCTCTAAGTACGATGGTTGACCTTGCAAGCTCCTTATGATCAAAGGTCTAGTGATTTATACATTTATTAACTTAGGTTTGCTTGGGGACAAGGAAATTTCAAGTGTGGGGTTATTTGATGACATGTGAAATATACTATTTTAGAACCCCTTACCCTTATTATATGATAAAAATGCATTTATTTCCCATCTCTAGCGTCACAATACCTTAGATTTGCTATGTGAATGCTCAAAGTGTGTTGGGACTGCTTTTCTTATTATGTTATGCTTTTGGTAGCCTTTTGTGCATTTTCAGGTCAAAGCAAGCTAACAAACCACTTAAGAGCTAAGAGGAAAATCAAGGCTCGATTGTTGGAGCATGATTCGGAGAAGAAACCCATGCCCAAAATTAATGCCCATTTTGGTGGCCCATGATTCAAAATGGCGCGATGGCTGCCGTTTTCGGGAAGTTGAGGACTTCATCAAAAAGGCGCCAAGGCCAAATGTCTCTCCCAAGAAACCCTAATTGAAGACCTATATAAATTTTTCTCAGGTTTAGAACTCGGTATCTAGAGATAAGAGGTAGTTATAAAGTCATTACTCTGACAACAGGGTAACTCTCCCGACGTAGAGCGACATAGGTTACTTGGGAGGTATCGACGGCAGAATCAGTGCCCTAAAGCACGATTTCTCTTTTGTCGTTGCCGATTCTAGTGGTTCTGTAAGGAAATCATTTTAATCGATGAATCCCCAGAAACCTATCCCCATGGTAGGCTAATTCATGCAAACCCTAGAGGTTCTAAATATGTAAAACTTGATGTTTGGTATTCAACATGATTGTTTCTATCTTCATATGTTTTGTATGATTTCCTCTATATTGTCTTTTGTTGGTTTGGATGAAAGATTAATCGAGCTTGCATCCCTTCGTGGTGCAACCATCAAAATCTTAGTAGCCCAGAACCATACCAGACATGACGGTTATATCCGACCGATCATCATTCAATCAAACAGCATGACATCTCAAGAGAGAAATTCATAGAGTCCTTGTCCTCCATTATTACGAGAACCGACACAAGGTGGGATTTGAAGACATAAGAAACAAACAACTAGTATGTTGCCAGCAGGGGCGGAGGGAAAGAGTTAGAGGGTGGGTCGCCGGACCCACCTTGGCTCAGGACGGAAATGTTCAATTAGGTACAAGAGTTAATTGGGTATGAAAAATTACATGTATTTAAATAAAAATGGTTGACCTTTGAAATATTTGATGTATGATTTATAACAAGCATTGGCATATTCAATATTCTTATAACAAGATAAGTACAAATGATAATGGTGTATATGATCCGCCCAAAATTAAAGATGTACTTATTCAATATACAACAAATTTCCACCAATTCATAACTAATTTGTAAAAATAATTTGATATCAATCAGGATAGGGAGAGTGTAACTGGTGTTTCCTAAGGACGAAAGTGAGTAAATTAGTATAACATTTAATTGAGAATGGTTTACCCAGATATCATTTGTTCGAATCTTTGTAACCGCATTTGTTAAGCATGTGATATTGGGATTTACGTAAACTTTAAACACTCATAAGTTGTTTTTTGAAAGCAGGGAAGTGATAGTAAATACTAAATAGTATAAGATTCATTATAAAATCCTTCCCAACAACTCCAGTTATTGATACTAAACGGTCTTGACAAAGAACACCATTCAAATGCAAATTTCTAACTAAATCATAAATAATTGTTTGATACATATATAGTGATATTCTTTATAGTTTCGCCATATATTTAATTTACTCCAAGTTTTTGTAAATACAAAATTATTTCATGAATGATTTAGAGAGTTAACAAAAATATTTTATCGTGTATTTTTTTCTTAAGGAACCCGCCCTCGACAAAATCCTGGCTACGCCCCTGGTTGCAAGTATCGAGGGAACATATCTAGGAACTTTAGGGGGAACTTTGCCTATGCAACACATCTCTCTTTTGCATCCTCACTCGTCAATAAGCATAGGTTTACTTTTATCGCACTCGGTTTACTTTTCGTTTTTTGAAGCCGAAGGCACCTCAACCTCCTACTAGGGGTGGGCATTCGGTCGATTCGGTGCAAACCGAACTGAAATTATGCATACCGGGTCCCCGGATTCTATCAAACCTCAAACCAAATTCGAACCGATTTATAATTCGGTTCGGTAAGTTCAAACCGAATTATAATTCGGTTCGGTTTTCATACAAAACCGAACTTTTGAGGTTAGCTTGTATCTTCTCTCTTTTAAATTATTTTTCACCCTTAATGTAAATAATAAATATGCATCATCAATTATAAAATCAAACATTTCAACACATAAGTCATAAAACACTAACATGATTCAAATGTTTAAGTCTCATAATAAGTAGAACCATAAAAATCCACCATTTGGAGCTTGCAATTATAATAATTCGGTTTTTCGGTTCGGAATTCGGAAATTCTGTTCTGTCGAAAGGACCTTGGTTTCCGAAATATGTCATTTTCTCTTCCGAATTCCGAACCAAATAACATTAATTCGGTTTCGGTTCGGTTCGGTTTTACCGAACCATATGCCCACCCCTACCTCCTACATCACATTTTCAACCAATAGAATTCGTCTCTCATCGTCTGAGTAAGTGGATGTGAGAGACTCTATAAAATACGATCTCGGTCTTCGAATCAAATAAATTTGGTCGGCTACAACAATCGAATGACGATATTTTACTTCTTTGGTCATATTTTAAGAAACACCGTTATATTGAGAAATAGTTGTAAAGTAACTCCATTTTGAAATTATTTTTGAATAAAACATATAATTTTGAAACAAATGCTCGAGAATCTCTTTCCAGAAAAGCGTAGAAAGATCAAAGATGTGTAAAAGAAAGTGTAGAAAGAGAGGCTATGTAATAATACGAAGCTAGAATCGGCATTTAATACGAAGCTTGAATCACAAAATTCTATCCGCTTTTAAGTTTTTCTTCTATCTCAATTCTCAAACTCCGGCACAAATTTCCCACCAGAATAAAGCATGCTTAGATTTAGGGATGGCAAAAATATCCGTAACCGCGGATATCCGCCCGAATCCGGCCTAGTCGGGTAGGGTAAAATCCGAACTCGAAGGACATTTAGTGGGTACGGGTAAAACCCGAACCCGAATATTGCGGGTAATGGGTGGGCATGGATTTCTCACTATCCGACCCGAACCCGCCCGATTATACACATGCATATGTATTTTGTCTAGAAATAATCATTATTTTTCTCTAACATATTTTATATTTAGCATATAAATATAACAATTTCATGAAATTGTGTTGTTTTAGTTAATTTTCTTCATTCTAGTGAATTCTTGTCGTACTTTTTCTCTTACTTAATATAAGAATATGTGTGAATGTTAACATATTGGTTGGAGTTATGAAGAGAAATTAATATACATGGATAACCGTGGATACCCGAAACCCGAACGGGTATGTGCATGGTTTTGATTTTCTACCCGTTTCACATGTGGGTATGGGTATGGGTAAAACTCGAAGTACTTTGGGTAGGGTAACGGATATGCACTATCCGCCCCCGACCCGACCCATTGCCATCCCTACTTAGATTTTTTGGAATTAGGCCATTTTTAATTATTAGAGAACGATAACCAACCGGGTTTGCCAACCTTCGGTGCCACAAAAGAGTGAAGGAAGTAAATAAATGCTGCATTTAATGGCACAAATTATGGTCCTCTTCTTCTCCGCCGAGACAGACCCTATCACCAAGCCCAAACGCCCCACACGCTTGCCGCTTTTAATATAAATAAATAAATTAATAAAATATTATAGAACGCAATCCTCAATACTGAAAAAAAAAAAAAATTAACCGAAGAAAAGAAGAATTGATGATCCTCTCGTTTCTCTAGCATCCAATACCCTCAGTAGCCTCTGTTTCTCACCCATCTCTCTGGTACTCTCTATATAGATATCATAACTAAATCACTGCCACTCCATCTCCCACAAGAACAAGATCTTCCTCCCTTTCTCACTTCACTTCCATTTCCTCAATTCCGCCTAGATCTCTTCCTTAGTTGGGGTAATAGTCCGCACGAATCTACCTTACCTGAAAATTAAAACCAAACCAAACAAGTTCATTCTTTGATCAATTCTTCTTTTGGGTCATTTTATCATGTCTCTGAAACTTCTTCTCATTCTTCTCCTCGCCCTCACCTCCATCGCGGCGGCTCAATCCAACCCCTCGCCCGGACCCAGCAAAGAAACAAGCGAGGCTCCAAAGCCTAAGTACTCCGATCTGCCGGCGGCAGAGCCGACCGTCGTGGAAGCAGGGGAAGTTGCGAGGGCAGGGGAGGGTGAGGGGCAGAGGAAGAAGCACACTGACAAGTCGGTGGCAGGCGGCGGAGTTATAATCGGCGGCCTTCTCACCGCCGTGTGTATGGCGGTCTTCTGTTACATACGCGTGACCAGGAAGAGAGACGACGAGCTGCCGATGTTTTTGGAGAGGAAATCGACGGATGCTCTGGTTTTGGACAGACAGTCGGTTACGTCATCACCTTCTTCTCACTGATCTTTCTTTTTCTCTTCTAATCCCTTTGTTCGTAGGGATGGCAACGGGGCGGATCGGGGGCGGGTAGATGCCTCCCGATCCCCGCCCATACATCTCGACGGATTTTCCCATCCCCGTCCCCGGCGACTAAACGGGGGGAGATTGGCTACCGTCCCCATCCGCCGACGGATTCGGGTAACCAACGGATCCCCACGGATCATGGTCTAAACAGAAACCAAACACTTCCTGAATAATACATTTGCATTAAAAAGGTAACTTGATGGTCAAGCCACCGAAATTGAAAACAAAATAAAGAAAGATCTGGGGCTGTAACCCATATCCCACCACCCAGCACCCAGATCCTAAAATTCAAACAAACAAACAGGCTGCAGCAAACAAACAAACTGCTGCAACCTTAATCCCACCACCCAAAACCCATCAATCATGTTCATCATGCTAGTACTAGTGTTCAAACTGAAAAAGAACATAAAATGAAAAACAAAGGCATTCAGCCTAATCGTTCAAAAATGATAAAATGAAAAACAAAGGCATCCATGCTGGAGACCAACTTTCCTCGACCTCAACTGATTTGAACAACATTCCTCCTTTGTCACAAGTTCCATTTGTTCTGTAAGAAAGAAAACAAGAGTGTTAGAGAATTGAAACTATCAATAAAACTCATCAATCATAAGTTTGTGCTACTGATCACTAGTACTTTACCTTTGCACTGGTTTTTCTCAAACAGTCAAACTATCAATCATCTAGGGATAGTGGACCACGGTTCATATTGCCAAGTTCCTCTTGTTCTGCAAGTAAGGAAACAAAGCTGTTAAGAGAATTGAACTGACTTTAACAAGGAAACGAATTGAAGAACCAAGTAACTTACCCTCTGTTTGATCTTCAGCAGTTGTATCTGCAAGTGCTAGAGCTGAAAACAGTCCTTCCATTGCCTCAACATCAGCCTTTGACTCTGCAAAAAATGAAACAAAGGAATAGTTAGAACAATGAACACTCTAATAAGTAATAAAACAGAAAGTTCAGTTGTTGCATATTACCTTGTTGCATTGAATCAATGATCCAATTACGAGTACACATCATTGCCTCCACTGTATTGTAGTGAAGCCTACTCCGGTGAGGGTCTAATAACCTCCCACCAGAGCTGAATGCAGATTCAGAAGCCACTGATGTGACTGGAATGGCCAGGAAATCCCTTGCAATTGCTTGCAAAGTGGGGTACTTAAGGCCATTAAGTTTCCACCACATCAATATATCAAAGTCCTTAGATCGTTTAGGAATAAGATCCTCAAGAAGATAGTGATCGAGCTCAGTATGAATCAGAGTAGTTTTGCTCTTTTTCCTCTGGCTCACAAAGAGCTCGAAATCAAGATCATCACTTACAGAACTAGAAGAACCACCAGAAGCACATGAAGAACCAGAATTCTTCTTCTCAGCCTTGGTTTGGTAGTCAAGAACCAAACCACAAATACATTCCCTTATCTTATCAGCCACCAATGCAGTATTAGTGCTACCAAACTTGCCAGCATAATACTCAACTACATGCATCTTGTATCTAGGATCAAGAACCACTGAAACTGCCAAAACCACATGTACCTCATCCCAGTACTTGGCAAATTTATCCCACATGCTTTCAGCCATACTAGAGACAAGAGTATTGGAATCAGCACACCAATCCAGCAATTTCAATCTTAAATCACAGATCTTGGGGAAAAACAGATTGGCAGTGGGATACTTGCTACCAGAAAATAGCCGAGTAATCTCATTGAAGATTTCAAGCTTCTCAATGATAATGGCAGCAAACTGCCAATGCATACTAGTAGGGACAGTATTGTATTGACTATCCCTCTGTCTCAATCGAGAGAACACATCCCTGTATATAATAGCAACAGACAGCATATCATAGGTGGAATTCCACCTTGTAGGACAATCAAGCACAAGTTTCTTTGTACAAGTCACCTTAATCTGTTTAGCAGTTTCAAAGAAGGTCTGAACCCTCTTAGGTGTAGAGTTCCAGTACACAACACTCTCCCTAACCAAATCAATGCCATCCCTGATGACATCCAAACCATCTTGCACAATAAGATTAAGTACATGAGCAGAACATCTCATGTGAACCAGCATACCATCCAACAACAAATCATCCATAACAAGTTTGGTTTTCAGATGGGTTATCATAGCATCGTTGGTAGTACAGTTATCCAAGGTAATAGATGACAACTTGCTATCAATATTCCAATCAATAAGACACTTGAACAACCTGTTTCCCAGCCTCTCACTAGTGTGAGGAGCAGGGACATAAACAAAACGTAACATCAAGTTTCTTAGCTTCCAAGAATTGTCAATAAAATGACAAGTTACTGCCATATAACCCCTCTTTTGGTTGGGTGCAGTCCACATATCAGTGGTCACTGCAACTCTCCCAATATTACCATCAAGAACCTTCTTCAACTTTTCCATTTCAACCCCATATAATCCCATTATGTCATTCTTCACTGTACCCCTACAAGGCACAGTGAACTGTGGTTGCAAAGAACAACAAAAACGTCTGAACCCCAAGTGTTCAACAATACTCAGAGGATATTCATGGACCATAATCATTGAGCACAATTCCTTCCTAGACACATCAGAACTGAACTGAGAAGCAGATAGCAGTGGTTTTCCAGTTGGTTTATAATCAGGACCCAGAACTCTCTGTCGACCATCATGTATCTTTCTTTGGGTACAAGTTTTGTAATGGTGCCTCAGATGAGAGGTTCCATTACTAGTATCACCACCAAGTCGTTTTTTACAGTAACGACACTTAGCCTTAATAACACCATTAAACTTCACTCTAACAAAATGAGGCCAGACATCAGAAGTCAACTTCTTATCTTCCTCAAGAATGACTTCACCAGTTTCAATCCCATCAACCAAATTAACAGTACCATTACCATTACCATTAACAGTACCATTACCATTACCATTAACAGTACCATTAACATCAGGATTTAGAGAATTAGGCACAGGAGGATCATTCACATGCAAAGCATCATTTGCAATTGCACCATCCATCTACATAAATTAAAAATAAAATCAATCAATCTTCAAGACTCGGACAGAGCACACAAGCAAGCAATCGACACATGCAAGCTACACTACACATACAAATCATAAAACAAGGCGGATTTAGAGTCAGGCTATTCCTAACCTGTAATTTGGAGAGGTAGGATTTGCAGATGGGGAGTTGATGCCTGATGCCCTGATGCGAACCTAATGAACTCGAACAAGGCAAAAATAAAAACAATTTTGTGTTAGCATTCATTGAATGAGAAAGACCAAATTAATAAACTAGAAAAATTGAAGTTTTAAAAGTGATTACCTCGACTGTGCTCTGAGCAGAGTGAAGGTAATGATGAACGGAGAACTTAGAACAGAGGTTGCGAGTGACCCTGAAATCAATCGACAGGGTTACTATATATATGAAAGCAGAAGAAGATGGAATAGATAGGAAAACGAAAGGAAAAGGGAGAAGAAACTTATCTGTCACGCCGATTTCTCCCAATAATTGCGAATCGAAGATTGCAACAGACATTTTAGGGGTTTGCATGTTGTTTTCCGGCCAAATCGACGGCAAAACAAGCCTCTGATTGGCCAAACTGGAGGATTAATGATTGCCTACTAGCGATAAACCAGTGGATGGAGAGGATTTTGTGGGGAATCGGCGAAATTTTGGAGCTAAATCAATGCTCGTGTGTTTGGGTGGAGAGAAAATAGAGAGGAAGATGAAAGGAAACGGCGGCAGTCGACAGGCAGAAAGAAGAGGAAATGAGGGATTAGGGTTTCTGGGTCTTTCTTCGGCCTTTATACCCAGGTGCCAAAACGGCGTCGTTTTGTGGACGGACGGGGACGGGGCGGATACTTCTCGATCCATCCCCACTCGTAACCCGCTTCTGACGGGTTTCGGGTATGCCCGAATCCGCCAATTCCCCACTGCGGCCGGGTATTGAGACCCCCGTTGAGTCGGGTTTCGGGCGGGTACCCGGCGGGGCGGCCAGGGTTCCCATCCCTATTTGTTCGAGTGGTTAAGGCGTTAAACAATGCTAATTAGTTGAGTTATTACCGGGCTTGGGTTTGTTTACCGATGATGATTTAGCTTCACACTTAGGAGCGTTAGTTAGATCTGTTTTGTAAGGGGTAATTCTTTTATTTGCCTGTCCTATGTAATATTTTTTTGTGAATGTATATACACCTATCTAGTTATTCGTTATCTAGTTATTCGTTTGGTTTTGATGATAGTTAAACTGATGCGTTGTCATCAATGCATGTGTCAGAACATAAGCGTGCAATCGATAATCCAGATTAACACGAACGAACACAAATTTAACGTGGTTCACTAAAACAATGTGTGTTAGCTAATCCACGGGCAGAGGAGAACAAATTTCACTGATTTTGAGGAGAGCACAGGTTACAAACCAAATTCCGAAATGAACAAACCAAACAAACTAACCTGACTGACCTTACAACATATTAGGGTGATGAAGAGTATTTATAGAACTCTTCTCCTAATCCCAAACAGAAAACCAAACATACAAGGAAAAGGTCAAACCCAAACCCAAACATATTAGGCCCAAAACACAATACAAACAAAATCAAATTCAAGTCATATTATAACAATCTTCACCTTGACTTGAATTCTGTCTCAATTACCAGTTGTACCGGACGTAACCAAAGTTACCATATGTACCAGACACGAACCATATCACCAAATTTACCTAGATGCGATCAAAATCACCAGATGCCCAGATGAGATCGAAATCGCCAGATATCCAGATGCGATCGAAATCACCAAACTCAAACGCGATGCAAATCGCCAAACTCAGATGTAATCAGAATTCCCAGACGTACCAAACTCCTCCAAATCAGCTATAATAGAATCTCCCGTGCCTCCAAATGCTCCTAAGGGCAATTAACAAATCAAAACATGCAGCAAGTCCAACCCTTGTTGGGACTTGCCATTCAGAACC